ATTTCATAGTCCTAAGGGGAGGTCCAGGGGCGGCAAAAGAAGGGTGGTTGAGGGTTGAGGGTTGAGGGTTGAGGGTTGAGGGTTGAGGGTTGAGGGTTTAGGGTTTAGGGTTTAGGGTTTAGGGTTTAGGGTTTAGGGTTTAGGCCCACGTAGCCTGAAGGATGGGGGGTCCAAACAAATGCCTAATCCCCATCAACCCGATCGCCCGAACAGAACCTAAGCCCTAAAACCCTACACCCGAAACCCTAAACCCTAAGCCCTAAACGCTAAACCCTAAACCCTAAATCCCAAACCCTACACCCTAAACCCACTGCGCTGGACTTTTCGAGGCACTTTGCCGCACTGGGTGGCCATGGCCACGTGTGCGAGGTCTTGCCGCGCCCTCTCTGTCTGATTTCAAGATGGTTTCGGGTTCAGGGTTTAGGGCCGTTTAGGGTTTAGGGTTTAGGGTTGCGGGTTTCGGGTCTAGGGTTGACCGTGTTCCGTTGCCGGTCCTGTTTCGGGGCTTTATGGTTGTCTCAGGTTAGGTTCCTGATAAATAGTGGAAGGGTGTATGATTCAGTTCGAGCCCCTTTTGGGTATTCAATTTGGGCCGTACGTTTACACCTTTCGCGTAGACCCAAGGTCTTGCAGCGCGTCCACGAGTCCTCAGACTATACCCTAAGCGACAACCTCAAGCTTCAAACCCTCAACCCCAGACCGCGCTGGTGTGCGCGCAGGCAGTCTTTCAGGTTCATGAGCCGAAAAGGATCACCCTCATCCCGATACTAAACCCTAAGCCCTAAGCCCTAAACCCTAAACCCTAAACCCTAAACCCTAAACCCCTAAACACCTAAACCCCTAAACCCCTAAACCCCTAAACCCCTAAACCCCTAGTTCGGCTTGATGGTTCAGGCTCGCAGTTCTAGGGGTCAAGAGGTCAGACCTCAAATTCCAAAGTGCCCGAACCTTAAACCCCAGGCCCTAACCTCTAAACCCCCTAAACCCCTGCAACCCCGTAACTGCCCGAAGGCCTGAACCCTCTGCCCTAGACCCCGAATTCCCAAACCCCAAACCCCAAACCCTAAACCCTAAACCCTAAGCCCCAAACCCTAAACCCTAAACCCCAAATCCTAAACCCTAAACCCTAAACCCTAACCCCACCTCCTAGCCTGAAGTTTCGAGGCTTGAGGAGGGTGGCGGCGACGTCGACAGTCGGGACTGGGCGTTTAGGGCTTTGGGGTTTCACAGTTTAGGGTGGAGGGGTTTGGGTTTAGGGTTAAGGAGTTTAGGGTGTTGGAGCAAGGTTCTTGGGGCTTCGGAGCATCCTCAACCCCCCCCCCTCTGGGCTGTTCCCCCCTGCAACTGACAGTCCTTAGTAGGGATTGTAATTGGGGGGGTACTATAATCCCAAAAAGGATTGTTCGTATAAGGGGGAGCGTCCCAAGCTTTGGGGTTTAAGGGTTTCCGTGCGGTAGGGTTTAGGATGTAATCTAGCCGTGTTGGAGCCCGCCAGAACCCCAATGCCTAAAACCCTAAACCCTCAACCCGCAACCCTAAAAAACCCTAAACCCTAAACCCTAAACCCTAAACCCTAAACCCTAAACCCTAAACCCTAAACCCTAAAGGCCACTTGGAGACTTGCGCGAGCATTTGCCACTGCAGGCCCCATCTGCAAGGGCACACACAGGTGGAAACGGCTATGAAAACAGTGGCGGCTATGAACCCTAGGCCCGAACAACGCTTAAACCCAAACCCTAAACCCAAACCCTAAACCCTAAACCCTAAGCCCTAAACCCTAAACCCTAAACCCTAAACCGTAAACCCTAAACCCTAAACCCTAAACCCCCCCTAAGCCCTGTTCGCTTTTGGAGGACAACTCGGGGCTTCGGGCGCTGCACCTCGCAGCTGAGCAGGGTCACGTCGATGCCTGCTGGGGTCTCAGGGTTTAGGGTTTAGGGTTTAGGGTTTTAAGGGTTTAGGGTTAGGGTTTCGGGTTTAGGGTTTTAGGGAAAAGGGCTTAGGGCGTGCCACCTACCCCACCCCAAGACCGCCCACATACAACTTTCACGGATTTAAAGTTTTCTTTTAGAAGGAACTAGAAAGCCGGGTGCCGTAGCGTGAGTGGGTTGGAATACGTCTTCCTGTTGAGTTGCTCTTCCGGGCTAGGAAAACTGACGAACCCGATATCAAAGTCTTCAGTTTAAGCCGCCTACATGTCGGGGGGAATGGGAGCACTTGGGTTGCTGTGTTACTTGCGACACTTGCGACACTTGAGTCGCTTCGGTCACCTGGGTCAGTTGGGGCACGTGGCACAATTTCGACAGTGAACCGTAAACCCTAAACCCTAAACCCTAAACCCTAAACCCAAAACCCAAAACCCAAAACCCAAAACCCCAAAACCCAAAACCCTAAACCCTAAACCCTAATGTCGTGCAAAGTGCATCACGGAAGTACGACAAGTCATTCACGCTCATGCTTTGGCGGCCGACTTGACCTTTGATTAAGCTGAGTGACCCTCAACTCTCATCCTTGAAGCACCCTAAGCCCTGAACCCCACGACGACCTCAACCCTGAACCTCAACTTGCCTTAGGTAATTTAGGGTTTAGGGTTTAGGGTTTAGGATTTAGGGTTTAGGGTTTAGGGTTTAGGGTTTAGGGTTCCTTAATCCTAAAGTCCCCAGACCCCAAAACCAACCGTACCAAAGGCCCCAAAAAAACCCCTTATCTTTGGGAGTCCGTGTTTTGGGGCCGCAGAGGTTATGCCTTGCTGCAGTGTGGGGCGCATCCTGATGGCCCCATAGGCAGTCCGCCCGGCTGGGTTTCGGGTTAGGGATTTCGGGTTTAGGGTTTCGGGTTTAGGGTTTAGGGTTTAGGGTTTAGGGTTTTAGGGATTTAGGGTTTAGGTTCAGGGCTTCGGGCTTAGGGTTTAGGGTCTTGGCTTTGCCGGGCCTCCGTTTGGGAATGTTGTGCTTCAGCGTTTCGTAGAGCATGCGAGGAAGCCTTTCATGATCCAGGGATCCGTGGCAAACCCTAAACCCTAAACCCTAAACCCTAAACCCTAAACCCTAAACCCTAAACCCTAAACCCTAAACCCTAAACCCTAAACCCTAAACCCTAAACCCTAAACCCTAAACCCTAAACCCTAAACCCTAAACCCTAAACCCTAAACCCTAAACCCTAAACCCTAAACCCTAAACCCTATCAAGAGGTCTGAAAAGTCTGAAGCTGGGTGTCGGTCTTGAGCAGTGGTCGTGAAGGTTGCAGGGTACAAGCTTTCGTTGAAGCCGAGCGAGGCTTTAGGGTTTAGGGTTTTAGGGTTTAGGGTTTAGGATTGGGGGGTGTGCTTACTTTAAACCCTAAACCCTAACCCTAGCCCTAAACCCTAAACCCTAAACCCTAGCCCTAAACCCTAAACCCTAGCCCTAAACCCTAGCCCTAAACCCTAGCCCTAAACCCTAAACCCTAAACAGCTCCTCCCGTGGCCTCAGGGCTCAGCGACACTGCCTGCGGCGCAGGGCCCAGGGCTCTCAACCCCAAACCCTAGACCCGAAGCCCCAAGCCCTAAACCCTAAACCCTAGACCCGAAACCCCAAATCCTGAGCCCTAAACTCTAAACCTTAAACCCTAGACCCGAAACCCCAAACCCTAAACCCTAAACCCTAAACTCTGAGCCCTAAACCCTAGTCCCGACACCCCAAACCCTAAACCCTAAGCCCGCAACTCCTTCAAAAAAAAAAGGGCAAGGTACTCAGCAACGCCCTACACAAAAAGGCAGGGTACTCAGCAACGCTCCCCAAGCCGCCAGGTTTAGGGTTTAGGGTTTAGGTTGTAGGGTTTAGGGTTTAAGGGTTGAGGGTTGAGGGTGCACAGGTTTCAGATGAGTTTCTGCCTCCCCCTCACGTTGACCACTGTCCAGCAGCCACCGCCAACCTAGCAGCCCTATCCCTAAACCCTAAACCCTAAACCCTAAACCCTAAACCCTAAACCCTAAACCCTAAACCCTAAACCCCAAACCCTAAACCCTAAACCCAAAACCCCAAACCCTAAAGCCTAAGGTGCCCCAACGCCGCTGTTGCTGGCTGCGGAGTGCGGCCATTCGGAGGCCGGCGGATCGAGGGTGGAGGCTTCGGTTTAGGGTTTGGGGCTTAGGGTTTAGGGTTTAGGGTTTAAGGTTTCGGGTTTAGGGTTTAGGGTTCAGAAAATCAAGATGTTGGGTTTAGGGCTTAGGGCTTAAGGTTTGCAGGGCCTTGTAGGGTTTGTAGGATTGTAGGGTTTGTAGGGGTTGTACGGTTTGCAGGGTTTGTAACATTGTTGGGTTCAGAATTTTGGGATGCAGGGTTTACTTTTCTCTTCTGGTCTGGGCTCACAGAAGCCCTCTCGCGACACTTCCCACAACCCCACCTTAGGGTTTAGGGTTTAGGGTTTAGGGTTTAGGGTTTAGGGTTTAGGGTTTAGGGTTTAGGGTTTAGGGTTTAGGGAACACTTCCCCGACAGCAAACCCCCAAACCCCCCGAAGACACCATCCGACACCTCCTCCCGAACCCTGCCACACAAGCATCGGCTCAGACCCCTTCTGGTTGTTTAGGGTTTAGGGTTTAGGGTTTAGGGTTTAGGGTTTAGGGTTTAGGGTTTAGGGTTTAGGTTTGGGCCTGCGCGCCCCTAAACCTCCTTTAGGCACAGAGGCTTTGCGGTGCTGGCGCTGTATCCCTTGCAAAGGTGTGCGCGCTGCTGGTGACGTTCCGCCACGCGCCCGGGGTAACTAGGGTTTTTGGGCTTTGGGTGCGTTGGTTCGCGTTTGTGGCCCTTTAGGCAACTCCCTTTAGGTAGCAGTCTTACGGTATCTGTCTCGAGTATGGGTCATAGTTGATACTGGTTGCCTGTCATGGTACCGTACTGCCCTAGGGCCGCACACGGGCCGAACACTACACGTAATAGCTACGGGAGGTAGCCACATGGCCTGTTGCACTCTTGGTTCGAGGCCGCTTGTTTTCGTTTTATTTGGAGTGAAGCCTTTGGCC